TTTAAAAAAATCAATCCTTTTGTCCACTTCAGGATAGTCCTACTACTTGTGTGATAAATCTCATTGCCCCCACTTCTCAGAAACCTTAGTATATTTATTTTAACTTTTCTATTTTGTATTTAACTACTCTTTTTCAACCAGATCCTGCCCATTGACTTTGAAGCATTGTCAAGTGTCATGCATTAACCAGAACCACCGCTACCACTGCCACCCAGCAGAAACCCTCATCTGAACACTCACACCTTTCCTGTTACTACTGACATGCTTTCTGGAAGTTGTGTCAGCATTTACTGTCCCCATTTCTTTACCTCCCATTCACTCCTCTTCTCCCTCCAGTCTGACTTTCATTCCACAATGCCACCAAAACAGCTCTTATTACATGATCAAAAACTTCTATGTCCCTGAATGCAATCCAATACATATTCTGTCTTCTCAGAAACTTCAGAACTGATGGTTGCCCCTTTGATGCAACACTATCTTTGTAGGTTTCTGTGACCCGGTTCTGTCCTAATTTTACTCTTGCCTCTTTAGTTATTATCTCTCTGTTGTTTGAAGACTCATCTTTTCCCACTCATCACCATCAACTCTGTTGAAATGCCAGGCTGCTTTTCATACTTGATTTTTTTCTCCCTAGATGATTTCTCTCACTCCCAGGACTTTAGTTAGCACCCATACTCAGATGACTCACCCATTTGTAGCTTCTGCTTAAATCTGCATCTTAGATCAGGGATAGTGTGTCCAGCGGTTTACCAGACATCTGTATGTCTCAACTTCACGTCTAACTCAACATATGTAAAACCAAACTCAAAATAATCCCTGCACAGTCTGATCATCTTCTAGTGTTCCCTAACACAATAACTAACTCCCCTGTTTTTCGGTTCTATATACCAGAAACCAAAGCATCATCTTTGACACTTTTTTATTCCTTACCGCACATACACATCCACCACGAAATCCTGTAGGCAAATTGCCTAAACATGCTTCTAATCTGAACACTCCTCTCCATCTGCCTCATTGCCACCCTGCTCAGTGTTACCAGCACCTCTCACCTAGGTTTCTGCTACTGTCTTCTGACTGATAGATACTATCCAATTCATTCTCTACACTTGGGCCACAGAGATGCATTTCTGAGATGCAAAACAAACAAACAAACAAACAAAAAACCCAAACAAACAGCTATGTTTCAATTAGTTTCTACAGCTCTTAGGATGAAGACAAAACTGCTTACCTGGACTAATCAATCTCTAGCTTTATCTTCAACTGCCTCCCCCTCGGCCCCTCTGCTGTAGCTATAATACCTTTTAAAATCCCCACAGTTGCCATAACTCCCTTCCACCACAGAGCCTTTGCATGTCCTGTTCTTTGTAAAGCTCTGTTTCCCACCTTCACCTGGTTCACTACAGCTCAAGCAGCACTTTCCCAGAAAACCTTTCCTGATTTTCCTGTTATAGCCGCACATGCACTGTCTACTTCCTCACTGCAAATGCACTTTTCACTGTTGCAGTTTGACATTTGTTTGCTTATCTGATTAATTTCTGTCTCCTCTTATGGGATTCAGGAGAGCAGGGTCAGGTCTGTATTGCATACTACTGTGTGCCTGGTGCCTAGCTCTGTAAGCACTCCAAAAATATTTGTTGAGTGAAGACTAAACACAAGGATTTAAGGAGAGCCAACATTCAGATTCAACAACAAATTAGCTTCCAGACAGGGTAATCACAGGTCTTAGACTGAGCTTATCAACTCTAAATGATCAAGATTCTGTTGTTACCATTACTACTACTTGTATTAACACTACTTCTCTTCTGACTACTCCCACTGCTAGTACTGCTTCCAATAACAGCATCGATAGCCCTCTAAACCTTTTGCTGTAATCTGGCAAATTAAAGCCATGTTGTGCTCTTATAACTGATCCTAATAACTACAAATTTAAAAATGCACCAAAATCTTACAATCTGAAGCATTATGAGATCCAGTAACATTCAAATTAAAGAAACATAGATTATAATAATCCAAGGTTTGACTCACAGAATGGCATTTCTTGGGATAACTAAAACCTCCTAACCTGAGAGAAAACCCTTTCAAGTGAAAATGAAAAAGAAGCAGACTCCAAACTGTTTACTGTGTTTCCTCTCTCCTCCTCAGCTGCAGAGCACTAAGACTCACACAGGGACAAAATGTGAGAAGAGAACAGAATCCCTTCTCAGCCAGGTCCTCGGGGAACATGGGGACAGGATTAAGATACCCACTGTGCTGTGAGCGGACAAGGGAGGTGACTCAGATGACGACAGAAGTGAAACAGGAAGAGGTGATTAACCCAAGCACCTCCGCCCCAGCAGCGTGTTCATATTTAGATTCTTACAGGCAGTTTCAATTTGCATTTGTTTATATGCTTTGTAAGAGTTTGCACTTCGTGCGTGCTTTGCTTACACAACTGGCTTGTAAACTTGGAGACTGCACGGGGACATAACAGGGAAATGGTGCAAGTGAGACAAGAAGCAAGAGAAGATCAAAAGAATAAAGCAGAAAAAGATGTGCCATTGGGTGGGCACTTGGCAGAGCTCTGGGATGGCAGCTGCCTCCTCTGGGTTGTGCCTACTCCTTAGCTCCATACCAGGCTTACATTTTTGGTCACTCTGTGGTGAAGGATATTTTCCCCTTCTGTTTTGCTCTTTTCTGTTTTGCTCTCTTTGTACCCAAATACACAATACCAGAACCATTTCTCTAACACTAAGGCCATTGCTTTTCATCTGATCCAGCTGACAGCAGCAAAGATACAATCTGATGAGAAATTTTCCAAACACAAAGGATGGAGATATGCTTTCTGTCTCTCCAGTGATTTGCAGTTTTTAATAGCTACAAGCTTAGCTCCCTCAGTTCTCTTTATTTTAAGAAGTAAACTTTCCTTAAATGCGGCACCACTCTCCTTCTGGATAACACACTACCCCTTCTCCACTGCTGTCTTCATTTTGAGCCATCGCGTATTGTATATAGAGTACAACAATCCATGTTGCCAGTTCCCAATGGAGTATTCACTAGGTCTTTAGATATGCAAGTCAGGTTTTCAGTTAGGCAGAAGGTACAAAGTCTACGTGTGAAACCAAAGTCAATGTGTACTTGTGCTCATGTATGGCTAATGTCTTATCAGATTCCAAATTAGGCCTATATAAAGAGAGAGAGAGGCACTGAGAAACAGGTTTCACTCAGTATTATTTTTACTACTCGTATTTGAAAGCTCTCATTTACCAAACTCTTACTCTTTGGCAGCAACTATGCTAAGTGTTTTACACAGATTACCTGATTTAATCATCAAAATTATGGTACCCATGAAGAAAGTACTATAATTATCTGTATTTGTTATGTAATGAAAGAAAAACATAGAGACCTGAAATAACTAAGCAATGATGATATATACAGTAAGTGACATAGCCAACGTTCAAATTCAGGCTATTTGTCTCCAAAGTGTGTGTAGCTAAATATTGTTCTTTATAAATTTTCTATTTCTCTTTACTTCAACCCCCAACTGAACTAAAGTTTGTTTTGTTTCGTTTCTGGATAATAGGGCATAGTAAGGTGGTAGTTAGTGGGACCCTGGTCTGAAGGTGGACTGTTCCAATATCGTGGTCCTAGAGCAAGTAAGATATAAGAAACTGAAAGTCGGTAATAAATCCATACTTGTTGCTTGTCCTGGGCAGTTCCATGCCTCCTTTAGCACAGCCTTCATAAGTTAATTTTTGTTGTTTTTTCTTATATTACCAGGCCACTTTGCCCCTAAGTTAAAAACTTTCCCTTTCTAGTGCATTTTCCATTTGCTAGCTTTTGTTTTCATTTTTCCATTAGCGGAAATGGCAATCATTTACTTTAGGACCAGGTAATTTAGAACAGGCATCATTATTATCATTTTCCAAACAGGCTCAGAGAATTTACATGACAGGCCTTAAGTCAAATTTATTTCTAGCCAGAAAGAAGTTACAATGTAAACCTAAGATTTCTGCCTCCAGTACAGGCCTCTGAAGTATGTACGGTGTGAATGCTACCTGTCTAGCAGCCTCTGTGGCCCCTTTACCTGTCCCAGACTAATATATCCAAAGCCACCTTCATAAATTCACCCACAAAACTTCCTTTGCTTCCCATCTCAATGGATACCACCACCATGCAGGTGTGATGCCAGACAACGGGACATCACCTTCGATTTTTCTCTCTCCTTCACTCATACTACCCTTGTCCCATATCCACTTTATCATCAGGTCATATCTGTTTTATGCTCAATGCATAAGAGGTGTCATTTTCTTTTTATATCTACCCAAATTACCACTTTCTATCCTCTGGGCTACTGGGATGGTTTCCTAACTCATCCCCACCTTCTCTTTCTTGTCCATCTTCACCCCATTCTCATATTAAATCCAGTGCAATCTTTTTACAACACAAATACAATCAGACTGTAAATGTCACACCATCCTTTGGTTGGAAATACCTCAATGTCTTCCCACAGCTCTTAGATAAAAATCAAAGCCTTGAACATGGCTGACAAGATCTGGCATGATCTGGTCCTTACCATATCGCCAGCCTCATCCCTTCGTCTCGAAACTGCAATGCCACTAGCATTTCCCATTTCCTCAAACACTGAAAAGTCTTTCACACAAGCTGTTTCATTTCTCACACCCCTTCTCCCCACATCTCCTAAATTATGTGAATGTCTACTCATTCCTCAGACTTCAGCTCAGGCTTGTCTTTCTCAGAGACAATTTCTCCGGCCTCTCTTATATGCTCTTCCACAAGACTGTTGTCGTCCTTATTATGAATACATCACTGTTACCATGTGTGTCATTTGTGGAATTATTTAATCAATTTTTGTCTTCCTTACCAGACAATTCCTCTTTCTGCTCAACGTTTGGGTGCTTAGCACCATGCCTGGCACACGGTGGGCTCAGAATGCATATTTGTTGAATGAGTAAGAAATGAATGACGGCAAAAATTTCCTTCCCTCTACAAGTTATACTTACCATGTTTCTGAATGAGAAGGTTGTAGGTTTTCGTCTGAATGCCCTCCGGGTACAGAGTAAAGCTACACACGTACTTTCCACCAAATGAGGAGGATATATTTCTTAAATGTAGTGTCGATTTTGACACATTCCCGGGAATTTCTGTAAAAGCTACCAGTGACTCACAGGGATTCCCACGGGCACAGTAGAAGCCGTGTTGGGGATGATAAAGAGCAATCATGTCCACTTTATTAGTGACCTTGGACCATTGCATCTGCACCAAGAAGCCTTTCTTCTGTGCTTGGCAGGTCAGGTTGATATCAGAGCCAGGTACAGCATAAATGTCTTCCGCATTGAATATTCCCTCCCATACTCCTGAAAAGGAAAGATACATGAGCTATTAGTATGCATAATACACATGGAAAGACTCAATTAAAAACCCTGGTCAGTTTGGTGAGGTAAGGAAGAAATCGGGGAAATTTCTCCCTGGCTGCTCTAGGGTAGGAGAGAGCTCATGTGTGATCCAGAGAGAGAGATGCATGAGACTTGATACGGATGAGAAGGCATTTACTTAGGGAAACTAGAGGAAATTACTGACTTCTGAATATTTGTCTGTTGATCTGTACAAAAAGTAATATAAGGTCTCTGAATACCTGTGAATAAAATTAAAATTAAGCCTATTTAAAAATTAAAAAAAGAATAAGCACGCTTAGTATGACAACTATTCTTGCATTTAATATAATTGGCTTTTTTGGGTTATACATTAACAGCTGCATATAACACATGAATGGTGCTTTCTGAAACCACAAAAATAACGAATATGTATACAGCAGTTTTTTAAAGTACATATTTATAAGAGGCTTTTACACGTCATCTTGTTTAATCCTTCTTACACACCAGAGTAGTGTTGTTAGCCCACTTTATTAAGGAGGAAACCGAGGCACAGAGAGATGAAGTGGTTTGCTTGAAGTTGCAACTCTAGTAAAGGAACATGAATTTGGTTGCCCAGAGTCTGTCATCTTTCTATAACCTTCATAGATACCAAACTGCCTCCCAAATTCAGTCTGGTTGAGTAGCGTAAGAAATTTGACATTTCATATATGAAGATTGAAAGGAACATCACCTCTATGTAGTTAGATCTTCTGAGGGGATGAGGAGGAAAAAAAACCTCAGGAGAGGTTCCACTCAGTATTATCTCTAATCAATGCTCTGAAATACTAGAAATAAAAGAAGATTCTCTCCCATCAGTAGTCTGACCAAATGGTGCAGGACACTTAAAATATATTAAGCATTGAGGCTTTGACATGCATAGTGTTGGCCTCAGTTTTATAATTAACAGGGGATGCTAGTATAGAAATAATATATGATTATGAAAAGTACCACTGAAGCTCACAAAGGGAAAAGATAAAAAGATGACAAGCAACTGGAAAGAAACATCGCTGTCAAATGTATTTGACAAGTGGGAATTATTACACTTTTGTGGATGTACAAGTTTGGGTAGACAGAAGTTAGCACAGTTTAATATAACTTCCTGTGAGCTGTCCTTAGCCTGATAATATGCCTCTGATTCCAAAATCTCCATTGATTTAAAACTCTTCTCAAAATTTTCATAACTATACCTGAAAATAACAGTTAATTCTTAAGACACTCAGGCTCGCTGTAACACCCTCATGCTGTGGAATGCAGAACTAATCTTTCTCCCTTCTATTTTTAAATAAGCCCTTTCAGCTCTTGTTCTCACTGTCATAAGGGCTCCACTTTGCCTCCCAGGTCAGTTACCTACACATGCCTCACTAAAATTCAACATGTGCACAACTCCCAAAGACCTTAGTATTTGGAGGAGAAGTACTTGTTATATCTAAAAGAAGCAGGATACTTGAGAGAGAAAAAAAAGGTGAGCAAGGATCTGAACATTGATGGCTTTGTGATTTTTTTTTTAGTTTTCCAGAGTTTTTCTGACTACCATTTGGAGAGCATTTCATTTCCAAGAAGCACAATTTCCCAATTACTCTGGAGATGCTGTTAGGAAGGAAATGGGTAAAAATGCCTCAGAGCAGTGGCACAAACCACCCATTCCATTCTTGTTTTTAGTGTTCATTAGTAATCATTTCTAGATGTGAACATTTCTCCGATAGCTGCCACTTAAATACATAACTGAAAATGTTAGTAATGATTTGCCCTTTGGTGATCAATTTCAGCAGCAGTCACAAGGAATTTTAAATGAACAAAGGCCCCATCTGCCCCTAAAGCAGCCAATCTGACAAGAAAGGACAACTGGAAGTCTTACCCCTGGCAAAATGCATCCGGATGATGGAATAGATAGCACAGTATGTCCATTTTTTCTCCATTGTCTCCTGAAGACCTTATACCGGCATTTCAACAATGATCACAGAAGTCAGTCTGTAAGCAAACTCCAGCCACCCTATTCATGCTAAAAAAAACCAAAAAAAACAAAAAACAAAATCTACCACACGCCCCCAGGAAATGAAAAGTAGACAGGAAAGTAATGTGGTTCAGGGTTAAGCGAAACCCTCAACAGAACAATGTTGAAATTATTCTCTGAAATCTTGTGTATCACCTTCTTTAAAAGACTTTTTGGTATCCAAAGAGTCTCTCATTCAGGATCTCTGTGTCAGTCAAGCTGCTTCTGAAATCCAAACAAAGGAAATCATGCAGCGCAGTTCACAATGTGCTTTTTATACATTTCTTTTCAAGAGCACAAAGTCATTTAACAGATGCAAGTTCGGTGCCTTTCATAATAGTTTTTCTGTTCACTCTTAAGATATGTTTTCTTTCCAGAATTGCTCCAGGGTGAAAGAACAAAGAATTAGCACATTTAATTTGAATAAAATCTGAAAAGTAACAGAGAGTAGTATCAATTATCAAACCGGATTTTAGTCTCTCCTTTTGCAGGGAAATCCACATTTCCTGGGAGTGGAGAAGTGAGGGCTTCCTTTCCACCTCTTGTCTGGGATAGGCTTGAGGTCAGATAGGGAAGTCTATCGCCACGCTGGCTGGAGGCCTTTTTTGCTGATAGTAGAAGAGCTCATCTGTGTCTAAGCCAAAAGCAAGACAGTACCAATCAGAATCCAAGGCAGAAATTCTCCCACACCAACCAGCTACCGGGCTTGTTACACTGGCCCAATTACTTCCATTTACAGAGGACCACGACTGGCTTTCAGGGACGTGGTCCCTTGGTGAAAATGTCTGCTTCTTCATGGAAAGACATGATGACTATTCCCTGCCAGATACAATCGTATCGGTTTTTCAGCTTGGGATAAAATAGGCTGTCTTTACCATCCAACATTAAGAAAACAAGCGTTAGGCTGAGGACTACAGTATAAGTTTAATGGACAAATAAAAACAATGAATAAATATACATGTCTCCATACAACCACGTGAATGATTGGTGAAATATTCTGTGACCCTAATCTCACTACTAGAACATAGACACCACCCAGCAAGACGGAAGACAAATGAAAAGGCTGAACTACGTTCCCGAGGTGGTAATTTCTTTGAGGTCAGATGGAGATCATTTTGGCCAGGTTGTCATCATGTGTACACTGATCCCTCCTATGCAAAGACTTGGGCGGAATATGGATGATGCATAAGGAATCAGCCTTGCCATCCAGGTTAGAATTTATCTGGGAGAAGAGAGATTTGCATGTGACATAACAAAAGCTACTGTCATCCTCGATGTCCAGGCTGCCCCCTGCACCACCATTGCAAATACTTGCTGTGGCAATTTTCATTCTTATTCATTACTACTCAGCTAATGATATTTTCTGCGAGGGTCAGAAAATGGAATTACTTATTTCCCAGTGTGGGGCCCACAAACATTTATCCTCACCCTCATCTCCCCACAAGCTTCAGATCACTGGGGATATTGGTCAGGTGGTGCTGATGGTGATGTTTCCAGGGAGCACTGGGGAGCTCAAAGCCCTTGACTGAAGGGCAGAAAGAGACATCACTGCTCTGACAGTCTTCATCTCTTCCCTTTCCCCTTGGAAATTCCAGTAAATCGAAGTGATGGAGCACAGCAGCAAAAACAGGCCAGGAGAGTACTATGAAGATCCTGACCTACAAGTTCTTGTCCCTATTAAATGAAGATACCTCACTCCATTTGTCATATTAAGAGGAATTTACATAAGTAGAAACCAATAAAAATTTAAGCTTATTTAATTCTCCAAGAACAATACCTTCTTTGGAGTATTTAGAGGTCTCCTATCTCTTATTGCATTGAAGTGAAGCAACTCTTCAAAAAAAAAAAAATCCTCAAACTCAGAAAAAAACAAATTGACATTTATTTCCCAGAGTTATGGACTCATTTTTAATAGAATCCTTGTCTCTTACTGGGGTTGGGCTACCTGAGGCACACATCCAGTGGCTACTCAGCAAATCTGCCTTCTCTGGGTATTATTCCCAGCCTGGTTCACGGTTCTTACATCTAGAAACTTCCGTGTCCCAAAGCCATCAGATTTGACCAAGTTTTCTTTGGGACCCACCTAGGCTCTGAGAGATGAACAATTTCAAATGCCGACAGAATGTTAACTGAACTCATCTGGTGTCCTGCAGCTGCAAGACCCAGGTGACAGCCCCTCCATGGCTGTTTGCATGCAGCAGGTGGCAGCAACAACCCGCAGACCAGAATGCCTATCCCAGGTGCTGGGAATTGCCCCCACTGCTTTTCAATCCCGGTAATATTTTCTAAAGGTCCTTTCAGCATGGGGATGGGCATTCTGTATACTTAAAAATAACTCTTCTATGGAAGTCATGTCAATCTCCTCTATTATCCTCCCTACTCACCAAATCCCAATTGCACAGCATTTCTTCTGCCTTAGTCTGCTGCATATAAAGAGAAAACAGAAGCAGTCAGTTTCACACACAAAAAGAAATCTTGAACTTCTTGAACTTCAGAGGCAAATTCAATTATTTACCAAGGGAAGCAGGAACACACATTATTTCTGCTAGAGGCAAGCCATGATTGTGTGTTTTGGACAAACTTTTTAAATGTTCTATCAAAACACTTACACTCAACGAGAAAAGGACATTTTCAGAAATAGGAAGTTGAGCAAAAGGTAAACTTACTTTTGTGGTTTTCATAGTGGTTAACTCAAATATTACTGATCTGCTTGGATTTTACTCTTTAACTACTTACATAGAAGTATAAAAATGTGGGCCGGCCCGGTGGCGCACTGGATAGTGCGCCGCTTGGGAAGCGCGGCGGTGCTCCCGTCCGAGGGTTCGGATCCCACATACAGACCGGCTCCCCGCTCACTGGCTGAGCGAGGCGCGGGAGCAACACCGAGGCTTGCGATCCCGTTGCCGGTCCCCGGTCCGGTACGGGGGCAACACTGAGGGTTGCGATCCGTTGCCGGACACGGAAAAAAGACAAAAAAAAAAAAAAAAAAAAAAATGTGGAGTGTTATATTTTTGCACATTTTTCCAAATGCTTAGAAAACCTGATGTTTAAGGTTTCTGTCAATTAAAAAAAATATTTGAACATTAACTCTTAAGGGATTACTGAAGAAGCATAGTTTTAGGTGACTTTAAAATACAAAGGGTAAAATGTGGCCCTTGCTCTTAAGGTATTTGCCATTTAGCTGGGAGGAAAGCATCTGTATGCACTAAAAAGGTCAAGTGACATAAAATATAGCCCTACTGAGTAGGTAGCACAGTACTTTAGAAAGGGGGGGGGGGTTGTCATAGAAATGGAATGGCCAGGAACATCTGAAATGTGGAATCTGAACTTGGCCTTATATATTATAGAAGTCAGCCTGGTAGAGACCACCACATTATTCATTCCAGGTAGAGGAAACAGGAAGAGCCAACATTTGGGAGTGTTAAGTTCAAGGATGATTCAGTGAGTGAGTTGTTCTGGTGGAGCAGAGGCTGTATTGAGGGACTGCTTGCAGGCAAAGCTGTCCAAGAGGTGATCTTAGATTATGGAGAACTTTGAATTCTAGGCTTAAGGACTGTAGGTTTTTTCTTCATGTCAGAGTTATATAGATTTTTCAGCATGAGAGTAACATTTAAAGTAACATTTTAAAAGGACTAATTGGGTAAGTACGTGAAAGTTGAATGAAAGAAAGGAGAAAAGGAAGGCAGAAGACCTGTTAGGAGTTTTATGTTTCTTTAGGCACTTTAAGACAAGAGCCTACTGATTGGCAGTGGTTATGGCAAAGTGTGATGGGAACATGGGCATTATCAAGAAAGGGAGGTAAGGCTTGGTATCAAATTGGACATGGAATCAAAATATCCCTGAATTTCCATGCCTTGGATTTAGGAAAAAGGAAAAACTGCAACAGAGTTGGATTCCTCCCAGAAGAGCCAACCTAACCAGGAAGCAATCGTCAAAGTTCAATGGGCTTTGGATGGAAGTGGAAGATAACCTACCACAGTACACTGGAGGCCCTGCCTTCATGAGAGTAGAGTTCCTTTTGGTTTTCACTCAACTTTTATGAATTTTTTGAATTACTATATAGTGAAAAAGGAAGAATTTCATGAGACTTTCAGCATAGTAATCTGTTTTCTCACCACCATTTCCACCAAGCTCAATTCCATACATAAAAGATTAATTCTAGGTTAATATGCTTTTTCAGTTACAACATCAGTATCTGCTCCTAGAAAACATTTTAAAAGGATAACAAAGAGAATAAAAATCAACTGGAATTCTAACTGCCCAAAGAGTACCCAGACTTATATGCTGTTGTATATTTTTCTAGACTTTTAGACATGTATATATGAAGAAAATTGACTTTTGCTACATGGACCTAACCTGAACTTTTTTCCTTCATAATATATTGCAGACATATATATATGCTTTAAAACAGGGCCGTCCCGGTGGCGCACTGGATAGTGTGCCGCTTGGGAAGCGCGGCGGCGCTCCCGCCCGAGGGTTCAGATCCCACATACAGACCGGTTCCCGCTCACTGGCTGAGCGAGGCGCGGGAGCAACACCGAGGGTTGCAATCCCGTTGCCAGTCCCCGGTCCAGTACGGGGGCAACACTGAGGGTTGCGATCCGTTGCCGGACACGGAAAAAGACAAAAGACAAAAAAAAAAAAAAACAAAGATCTGCTTCTTTCTTTAAAAAAATCGTTGTATAATATTTTATTCTATGATTTAACAGAAAAACAATTTTAAATAAGATAAATATAAAATTTTCACTTAATATTTTACTTTGAGAAACAATTATAAAATTCATTTGAATAATTATACTAAGTAATCTCTAGATATTTATTTTTAGTTGCAAACTGAAACAAGGAGAGAGAGAGAGAGAGAGAGACTTAGCCAAAGCCCTGGGAATCTAATGTTGACTCAGTAATAACTCAATAATGTTGACATTT